GACAGGATAAATCTAACCCTGCTGCAACCCCAGTTGCCAATCTGGCACTCCAGGTATTGTGAGTCGGCTCTTAAAACGCATTTAACAATTCACCGAGTATCAGGAGAGCAGAAAAGGATTGATGTTCTGTTCCCTTCATTTTGCTTTCAGTCTTTAATTATGCTAAATTGGTTACAAAATAGTGACTTCCAGTACGGGTAATGTCCACAGGGGGGGAAAGCCTGTGCTCCACTGTTTTGTCAGAAGCTCACAATGATTATGGGTTACACCTTCCATCCTTGCTAGTACATTTCTTCTACATGAAAAAATTCCCCCAAACCCAATGAACAAGGTGAAATCCTGCTCTCATTAAATCAACACTAGCCTGACCTTGATGAGGATTTCACTGACAGTAGCTGCATCACTCTGCCTGCTCCTATGGGTTAGCAGGGAAATGCCCATCAAATGACAACAGAGATTTCAGAAATGGATGATGTGGACTTAAAATGATTGTAATTGTGGTGAGCAATTCTACAATTCAGAGGGTGTTCAGGAGCTTTTGTTCTGGCCCTGTTCTCTGACAAAGTATGGAAAATTATATATACATATGTATGTACAGATATGCTGCCTGTACAACTGACATATTATGCTAATGTATATATGCATATGAGTTTTATAAATGAAGTGCTCCTTCACAAGACTGGGCAAGTGGAAGAAGGCAAAGCGCTTGACTGAAGAGCAACTACTGAGCTAACAGTGAGTGTAACAGCAAAGCACAGGGTGCTCTGAGCCCATCAGCAGGGAATGTAGGGCAGCGTATGAGGGTCAGCCACACTGCAGGCAAAGACTGGGTCACTTCTTCGTTTCAGCAGCGCTTTAACCTCATGCTTTAATACTTGTAGTTACAAGTCCATTTATAATTGAGGAGAAAGTAGCACGAGGGGTAAAATGCACTAAACAAAAGATTTTGTTTAAAACGTAGGAAGGGATTTTTTTGCCCCCCCCAAGCTGCTACAAATTCAGAATTATTTCACAAAATACCTCCTTTACAGGGGACTAGCACACTCCAGGGCATGTAGTTGTAAAGATAAATCTGTGCACTTCCCTGGTACTGCAGGCACTCACCCTTTGGCCTCATGTTTATGACTCTACACCCTGGAGTGGTGTTATTGCTTACAAACGTACATATATACTTACGGGGGTATGTGCGATCTGCGGATGTTTTATTTATAAGTGGCAGGCCTATTGCATCACTGAAAGAGGCATTTACAAACAGATATAGGTTTTATGAAACCCTATTCCGTTGTTTTAATAGCTAAGCTATCCAGCCATAGCATAATAGTGCACAAGGTAAATGTGTCTACATCTCTAGAACCTGTTCCAAGTTTTCTCAGATGTGACTAACTGCAAGAATTTCCCAACCATCAAAAGTTAATAAAAAAGACAAAATAAGGCAGTGCAAGCTTTTTGTACGACACACACACCACCGCCAAGTGGAGGGGCTCTGATAAACTTTAAGGCCTCATTTTACCAAGGTATTTAAGCAGGTGTCTAACTTCAGATGTAGATCTACTGAAGTTAATATCCTTAAAATGAGATTCACAGTTAAATACTTTGCTAACCAGCATCTAAATTGAGACTAGTCTGGGTTGTGAGATACCTGCCCCAGGGCATCTTCAGAGATTAGCCTTTAACTAGAGAATAGCTGCAATAGAAACACTCTACTTGCAGTTCACAGCATGTAAGCAAGAAATGAGACACCAACGTGTCCTTCTCTTGTTAAAATCTGTTAAATTATTCCTAGATATTTAATGCACAGAAATTCTGACGATTTTACACAGGCCTCCAAGTTACAGGAAACACAGCATATAAGTAATTAAGTATTTAAAAATCAAAGATATCTGATGTGAGTCAGAGGGGACCACAGCTCTTATCTACAATAGAAGTTCCTGTAAATATTTGGTTTGATACAGTATTTTTCTAGCTGCTTAAAACCAGTCAAAACAGCACTCTGCACTGAATGCACAGCCACAAGGGACCAGCCTGAGAGCATGTACTCTATTATTGCTTTACTGAAAGAAAAAAAGAAGGACAGTTCCAAGGCAAAGAAGTGGTCTCTAAGCTCAGATTCCACCACTGAGAGCCCTTCTACCGACAGACCAAAGCTATGTATTAACCCAATCTTCGGCAGCCAATCTGATTTCATTTTACATAAATATAAGTGAAAACAGTGGCTCCTGCATTTCATTAAAAAAAAGACTACTTTGACCATATCCTTTGTTTTCAATCTTCTGATTTTGAAAGGTTAAGACTGGCAAATGATGACAAAGAGTGACCTACATTAGACTGTAATCCCTGGACATACAAACTGAAAAACCCTGTGTATTAAGCATCAAAATGGTTTTGACTGAACCTTGACACTGGCTGTGGAAAGTTCTGTATTAACTCCCCACATCACAAGTGAAGCTTTGGCCATAACAAAGGTAACAGCAAGATACCCATCAGTGGAATCATCATCATTCTGCCTCTGGTCTGTGTGCTCCCTGTAAATATGTAATTGCTGCACAAGCCAAGAACAGTTTAGATCTGAATGTGTAAAAGAAGAAAAATGCAGAGAAGAACAGATACACTTCTACATACATGAATAAAGATACTGAGGGGCTCTGAAGTTTCACTTACCATTAAATCTTCGGGTGCTGGCCTTTCCTTTGGTTGCTTTTTCATGCTATGTGTATAAAACAAAACGTTCATATGTAAACCACCGCTCATTTATTCCACTTGCTTAAATATTGAAGATCGCTTTTAACACAGTGAAGAATTTCCATGTATTTCTTAACTTAATCATGTGCCAACAGAACACAGGAGTCCTAACAGCGGCCAAAACGTTAATGGATTTATTCCTTCCCACCCATCCCTCCCTTTAGGGATGTAGTGATCTACACTGTTTGTAACCATGAAAGTGTGTAAATACAGAGATCATTGAAAAGCAGTCAGCTCAGAAGGCACAGTAAGCTGATTCTCATTTTGCTAGGGATTATTACATAGCTCAACACCAAGTATTACACAAACAGGTGGGAAATTTAACTCTAACACTAAACAGCTTCAGGAGCATGCACAATACCCTGGGGTTCCTACCTTAATTTTTTCACATTTATTTCCATTACACTGCAGGGTGATAGTTCATTACACAGCATTAACCTGTTTATAAGATCATGTTTCTCATCCAAATAGTCCTAGTTTTCTGTGCAACAGGTGCAATTAGCTATTGAAGGCTGTGCTTAGCTGCATGAAGGAACACAATAACATGGCACAGAGGTGACCATCAGGAGCTGCCTACTGACTAATTGGATTACATCCAAACAGCCAGTCTTTATGGCATAACCAGCATAAAGTCTGATACATCGTTCACTTGACATCTCCAATATGCATTAGGAATTGATTGCTTAAATATAGTTTCCTCTTATTCACCTAATTTTTAAGCAGCAATGCCTCCCATTAAAAAATACAGCCAATATAACACCATATCTAAAATCTGTGCTGTACACTGGAGGATTAACAACACAATTTACCTCCCCTTCAAACAACTCCAAGCCCCTCAAATAATGCAGCATTAGCAAGTAAGCGAGCTGTCTGACGAGTAGGTTGGGAGCAGTTCTAATCTGACAGTCCAAAGTAGCTGCATCCCCAGGGAGAACAAGGCTATTAGCCACCATCAGTTATGCTTCAGTTTGACATCTGTGGAAATTTTAACACAGGTTATCCCTCCCTCTGCCTCAATGAGAATGGGTTGTTTTTTTTAGAGAACAGTCTGGCATCATTCTGTTTTGCAAGGATAAAAAGCACAGACCTCCACATCACACACACCAGTTAGCTGTGCTGCAGAACCCTCAAATCATGCTGCTCTTTGTAAACTGAAACTATTGAAAACGGAGGCCTATGTTACACAAACTTTAATTATTTAGTTGCTTTAATTACCTGATCATCAGCCTGCTTTTTGTGCCTGTATTGTTACCCGCTACCTCAGTCCTGAGAGGTACTGTCTGTGTTATATATTCAAAATTCAATTTACTAGGTGACTTTTGCCACAGTGGCTCTGGCACAGAGAATCTGAAAGTGCCTCAAAGCCTGACCTATAGATCTACATGGGGCCGAGGGCTGCAAGGACACACCCCTGCAGCAGGATTCCCTCTGATCCACAGGGCTGCAGCTCCCAGTGCCACACACTGAGATGGCTCCATCTGATTTAGCACAGCTGAGCATCGAGCCCTGGAAGCGCACGTTTGCAGAAGGGATGCTTCTCCATCAAACACGTTATTTTTGCAGAATTCAGGCTTGTTTCTTTTTCCATATACAAATGGCTACCTCACCCCCCTCCTCCTTTTTTTGGAGTGGGGGGGATGCAATAGCTGAAAAAGGATTTTCCCTTGTTTCTTTAGCATAGCTCACCCTCGAGATTTATATCCTCTGGTCACTCAACAACTGTATTTGTTATTCAACAAATTCCTCCTGTCCCCAATCCTCCTTTAATTCAAAAGGTTGCCAATGAACTATTCAGTTTTAAGCAAAGAAAATATACCCAGAGGTGTGTTTTAAAATAGAACTACTTACTGAAAAGCCAATGCATTAATGGAGGCTTCTTGCCTTTCTAAATATGGAGGCAATTTTATAAGTAATATTTTAAAAAGCCTTCAATAATGATACTATAGACACAAGTCTTTGTGGCTTTTTTACCCCCGGATGAATCCTTCGGAGTCTTGGCTCCCAAGACTGCACCCACATTGAGGGCAGGTTTATTAAAACAGGAAAAAACCCTTGTAAGTACTTTTACGACCCTTTGTGTAAATAACGTTTACATAATTTAAACAGTTTGCTTAGCTTTGCTGCCCCATCTGCCCAAGGCCCCCAAGTCCCTCTCCTCTCGGAAAGGATGCAAGGAAAGCCATAAGGTCTCGCAGAGCTGCGGAGTTAATGGCATGTATCATTTACATTGAGGGCATGGCATGTTTGCAAACTGAGCTTACCATTGAGTGATGAAGTGTACAAATGGCTCAGAGAACTCCCCGGCTGGAAGGACGGGTGATTCCTGGGATTGGATTGAAACAAGAAGCAGAGTCAGAAGGAGAGAAGATAATTTTTTTAGCAGAGTAATATACCGGTGACAACAAAACCAAAAAAGAAAGGGAAAATCAACCCCCCAAGGAAGCGACAAAGCCCCCTTTTCACACAGACAATCTGAGGCAGAAAGGTACAAATTCTTCTGAGAATGTGCTATAAAACACTGAATTTCAACTAATGAGTATTACACAATGGGTAAAAACATGTGGAAAGACACTGAGGGGAGGTGAAAAAAGGACAATGATAGCCACAGGGTAAAAAGGAAGGTAGGGAAAGTGTAAATGAGAAATTAATGATTATTTAAGTAACACACAAATGGTCTTGTAATTAACAAAGAGCTGTGAAATTATTCTTGTGTTGACCTTTGTTTCTTTCACTGCATTTGCTATTTATTTACACTCATGTTTATTTACACTTATTCATTTTAGAGGCTGTCCTCATGTGCTGTCTGTGCTAGATTTAAAAGGTGAGAGAATTTTTAAGAGGGAGAAAAACCCCCAAAGCAGGATTTGTCAGTGCAAGGGTAGGAAATAACCCAGGGTATTTATGAAAGAACAACAGAAAAATAGATTAAGAGCACAAGAAACAACAAAATTACGAACAGGGAACAAACAACATCACCATTTGCAAAGAAGGGCTTTACGAATTTAGGAGTTTTTCCAAGAATGACAGAGAGCTCCACTGTGTTTATAGTGTAACAGCTCAGGATGTAATGAAATTACACTGCAGAGTACTTTAACAGTGTCATCTCATTAGACCTACAGTTGGAACAAGAGAGCCACATAAAACAGGCAGCTGCAAATGACTCCATTCTCATCTATTCTCATTTGCTATTAAAAATACCTTTCGGCGTCTTTTTTCCTCCCTGACATCCCTACACAAAGTACCCTGCAAAGTATGATACATGCACCTATTTAAATTAACAAAGGAATGACTTATTTTAATCTCACTGTGCTTTGGAGTGCTTTGGCCATTTGGATGAGCAATATATCATTACATACAACCTTCCAGCGCTGCAGGCAAGAAACTCAGAGCGTGCAGCATTTGGTGGGAGCCAAACAATTTCTCTAGCACACAACTGTGTCAAATGCATGCATGTATTCATTATTGAGAATGCGAGGAAATAGCTTTGATGTAGTGGAAAAAAGAAGATGATAAAAGCACCTCTGCAATGTGTGTGCCATTATCAATGGTGGCAGATAGACACAACTGCAGAGCCTCCTATGTGATTAGTAAATATACATATAATTGCTGTGGCCAATTATCAGAAAAATGAGATCGGTAATTACAAGACAGAAAATTAACTAGAACTCTTATTAAGGCTTTGTTTCCAATTCAAACAATGGGAAACTGCTGGAAAATACAATTAAATCAAAAGTAACTGAAGAGTAAAAGGAGAAGCCAAAACTGCTTCACAATTTTCAAAGACTTCTATTAAATACAAGGAGCGTTTGATAGAACATGCCCAAAGCCTCTTTGAACTTAAGACCTGGTGAGAGGGAGGTTATTGCTTCTCAACTTATAAATGACATCAATATAGGAAGGTTTGCACCAGAGAGTGGAAGGAACACAAGGAAACAAGCACTGCAATTAAACTTTCCCCACTTCAAAGAACTGTGTATGGAAATTATTCACGTTAACAGAGAAAAAGCAGAGCAAAACGTCAGGCTTGCTCATCCGGCGTGGAGCCAGGCAGGTTTTACCTCTCCCCAACGTTCTCCCTGGTCCAGCAGAGCTGGGCTTGCACCTGAAGTGGTAAAAGCCACTTTTTCAGGTGGGATGGACTCCAAGAGAGCAGGTAGGAAATACTCTGGGCACGTATTACACATCGTGTTGTGAAGCCATCAGAGCTCATTCCCTGGGGAACTGGCTCTGCCCAGCAGTCCACCCCTGCTGTTTATTTTAAGTACAATGCAAGAGAGGAGCTCGTCAGAGGCATCCTCCGTCGGGGCTGCCAGCTCTGCTCAGTCCATGCTGGGGAGCAGGACAGGCAGCCGGCGCTTCACACTCATTTGGGAGGTGATAATTTCTGCAATCACAAAGAGATGACGAACCCATAATGGAGTGAAACTTCATTATGAAAGGGGAGGAGAAGCTGATGAACTGCTCTAAAGCCATCAGCTTGGCTCTCCCAGGCTACGCTGGCGTCAGGGTTCATGCAGCCAAGGGAAGAACTTGCTCCAACATTAGGATCAATGCCTTGACCACACAGCTCCCATACTGAAGCACAGCCAGGATATGATGTGCTCTTCCATAAGCATGCAAGAAAAAAAAAGCACCTCGATGAAAGTGAATGTTAAATAACATGAGATTTTCTTGGGGGGCCCATATTCTTCTGTACAATGCAGGTATTTCAACCCCAACCAGGCCTACTCTCCTCTGTTGTAGACCTGTCAGCCATGGCCATGCCTTAGTTGGCTTGCTCTCAGGAACTGCAAAGGGATTGTGTGTGTAGTTGTGAATGGAAATGAACACAAACTGGATCCCAATATGAAAACTAAATGCTTTAATAGAGTCTCCCAAGGATTTTAGACTGGGTACTCACAAATTTATCAGCTATTTGCTTGACAAACTGTAAACCTTTTGGAAGAGGGCATCCATCTCAAGGAATACTTGCTGACAAGTGTGTTTGAGCATATAAAAAACTTAAATCTCACTCTTGTAAATATGAGCCAGTTGTTACTTTACAGCACAGGAAAGACAGCAGAGAAAGAGGCAGGTTTGGAGTTTAGGTGAACCAGGAAAGTAAGGACCCTCGACTGCTTCCAGAGGTGAATACTGAAAAGCTGCATTTTACCTTAGTTAGAAAGAGAAAACATGCATTTGGCTGTTTATGGATGTCCAGGGAAACTGATGATCAAAACATTTCTGTTTCTGATACTGCTCTATGCATGACCATGTGAGTAGTAGAAAAGTGGGAGTATTTTGTAGTTAAGAGCTATTTCTAATGAGACAAAATGCTGCTACTGCCACCTATATAATTTGAGCAATCACAAAGTTGTATCAGACATAAAGCAAAGAGTTCCAGAACAACACAAAGTAAATACACCCTACTTTGTGTCCTTAAATTCCCTGGACTTCATCTGACACTCAAAGAGATGAAAATAGGAGGAAATAAATACACGTCTCTGCCAAGTGTACACCATTTGTGTGATGCAATCCAGTCCCATTTGATGTAACTGTAGGGAATGGTCCACGCACACCTGGATGGCCTGCCTGATTTTACCCACCTGCACAATGAAATCACCCTATAGGGGTAAATAAAGAAGAAGCCAAAGATTCTGCAGGAGTAAGGAACAGGCATATTCATTTAAAACCTGGGAAATGGTTCTTTCATTTTTGTTCAATGCCCTATCTTTTAACCAATATCATGAAGCCCTATATACTGAGATGCTGCTAAAATGGCAGTAAAGACACAAATGGTTTTAAAAGTCAGTGTACTGTTGGCCTCTTACATCCCCAGCGTATTCCCAAGACAAGATGTTTCCCTGAGCATCCAAGCAATATTTCCACCACAGGGATCTGCTGCAGAAGAAGACCAGATCAGGCTCTGATTTCTCAAAACCAGCTGAACTGTGCACACACAGTGAGAACGGGGAAGGGCAACAGGAAAAAAAGTTTGAGTGATGCCTTTGCCTTGTGAATAATGAACAGTTCAAGAAGGTCAACCCATTACAACTGAAAGCGTTTAATTATTAATTATGCACAATCTATGAGCAAAAGGACAAGTTCAGAATGTTTAATGTGTGGTAACTCCGACTGGACCCTCTCTTGGCATTTTGTTATTAGCACTTGTCAGCAAGGTGCTCAGGCATAAAGAAAAAAGCACAGCAGCACAAAATCCGAGCTAGCAGGAGGAGGCAAGGCTTTAAACTTCAAACACTGCTCCTGATATTTAATTTATAGAGTGCCAAGGCTCTGGTATAAAGCTTATTGACTTCCACGGAGTTAGGGGAAGTCACATTATCTAAATGAAGACCTGAGAATGAGAATACTGAGACAATCCCTCCAAAAGCCCTCTCTTTTGAAGGGGGTGATAACATTATTATCTGATTCTTTTTTTTTCGTCATAGATCTGATCAAAGGACAACTGAACCATCTAATAGCGTGTCCAGAAGTCAACCAGTCCTTTACAACCTATGTAATAAGAGCCTGAATTACAGGTCCAAGCATTCTTCTCACCTGCTTCTTGAACCTGTTATTCAAAATGTCTCCTGATCTGTTTGCTTTCACTAAGCACAGTAGTAGCAGAGATGCTACAGAAGCTCAGGAAATAAATAATGTGAGCAAGCCCACAAATAAATATGGATAAGAGGGCTTTCCCCTCTTTTCTGTGCAGCTCTGAGGTTTATCTCGACAAACTTAAGAAGTAAACTCAATGGATAGAGCTCTGAGTTACTTATTTTCTTTGGAAACACTCTTATATCAATGAAATATGGGAGTAGTTCTTGACAGGTAACATACACCAAAAGCATCCCCTGCTTGACACACACAGTCAGAGGTCTTACCCCAACAGACTATTTCTTGAGTGTGAAGTATTTTCTCAAAGCAACTGATAGATTTTTATCATCACATCCTTTCTGGACAGAGAGAAAGCCACCATCTCCCTACAACAGGAAAATCAGCAAACACAGCTTTCTACATAAAACCTTCAAGAAGGAGATGGCAAAGCCCCCAGTTATGTGTTAAGTTCACACCTGTGTTTCTCCTACAGAGGCTGGTATTTCCAGCCGATCACCCACTCGGTACCAATAGGTTTTACTCCCTGTCCTCATCTGCAGACTCCCTCTCTGGGAAGGGTTAAATTTCCCCATTCCCCACAGCTACTGCTATTTTGCAATACTTGCTCCTCAGTGAAACGCCTGTGCAGAAGGAAATGCCATGGTCCTATGGCTCTATGGCCACAAGAGGGAAGTTAGCAGAACCCAGCAAACCAAACTTCAGTTCCTCTCTCCTCTGGGTTTCCCC